CGACGTTGTGGAGCCCTGAGCGTCTCTCGGCGGCCTCCTTTACGCTTGCGTACAAATCGAATCGCAACTTGTCTCCGTTCTGCGAAATGTAGCGCAGCCTGTTGGTTTCCACGCGAACGAAGCCGACCGTAGTGTACATCTTGAACAGCATGGAGGATCGGTGCAGGATGTCGGAGAAGTCGTCGCCGTCTCGTTCTTGAAGCCAGTAGTTGAAGAACGCACGGAGAGAAAATGATTTCCCGTCGGTCTTCGTCATGGTGTACTCCCATCCAGAACCTCCCATTGGAAAGAGGAGGGGAAACTGCAACGCGTCGTGAAGTGGATTCGTTTCTCGAATGGTTGTGAACCGGTTCGAGTTCAGACTTTGCAGAACCACATGAGGTCCTGTGGGTTCGCTGCCGTCTCCCTCCATGATTACCGCAAGCTGAGCCACGGTAGGCAAGTTGTGTGTTCGAGCCTGCGCGCCACCAACAGCCTCCAGGACAATTTGAAGATTGCCCCCCCAATGTCCCGTCCGCTTCCGCTCGACGCAAACGTTCTTTGGCAGTTGCATACGTTCTCGCCAATGGGTAGTGGAGATCCATCACTCGCTGTATCGTGGCAGTATACCGCGAACTGAACGCCGGAAACATGTTTCGTCGGTGTTGAAGTTGCTCCTCGCTGGTGTGCTTGTAGATTTGGGCAAAACTTGGTTGTCGCAGGTTGCCATTTCTGTTCAGGTTGGGCTGCAACGGACCAATGTTGTGGATCAGCTGGCCTTGAATACAATACGTCTTGGGGCCGCTGCCGCTGTGCCATACCTCGTTGGTTCGAATGGAAGTGAAGTTGAACTGAGCGTTGTACTGACGGATGTGCTCGATGAAGTTGCGCTGCTTGAAGAGATCTTTGAACGCTTGCATTTCCGGCGAGTGGGAGAAAACGTAAGGATCCATCTTTACCTTGCCCTTCAAACCTTTGCCAATCCAACACAGCTTGTTTGTTTTGGCTCCGATGCGTCCTGCTGCTCAACGCACTTTTCGTACGCTTGGCGACGTTCGTGCTGACATCACTCTCGGGGGCCGGATGCTTGGGTGGTTGATCCAGCTCTTGATCCATTGCCAGTTATAATGGGACTGCGATGCGGTCTACATACTCCGCAACTCCGCCAATCCCATACTGCCTAATGTAGGACAGTAGAAGTCGGCTGGCCACGTCGGGGTCATCCTTGGTTTCTTCTCCGAATCGCTTGGATAGGCCAATTGAATGCGTTGCAATCACGGCGGGCTTCGCTCCACGCATCGGGGAGAGATTGCTTACCGTCTGTAGCAGTGTTCGGTAACTGCCACACTGTCCTGGTGATCTTGGGCGTTGAATTGAACTTCGCCTTCCCGTATGTCGACACCGTCGCTACTGACTTCGCCATGGGTGGCGCTTTCTTGCTGGCCATTTCTTTGGTCGAAATTTTGTTGCGTTCCATAGTCGCACCTGATTCGCCCGTGTCATTCGGCTCCATCGGGGTAGCTTCCATCACATTCACGTTTACGTTCGCTGGTTTGGCCGTGGCCTTAGCTTTCGATTGGTTCTTGTCTAATCAAACGAAATAAGTGCCAGAATAGACCTTTGTCATTTGATTTCACTTCCCGATAAACAGCATGTTACAATCAGCATGCTGCTAGTGGTAGTTTTACGCATCCTATAATAGGATCTACTTCACCCCCTAGGCGGAAATCCTTATGCCCCTCCCTGGGCTTGCAAGGCTGTCACATGAGTATCCGACCTAGGATACCACGGACGCAGATTCAAGTTATACGCAGTACGACACAAAAATCCCATGATATAATGGAAAACCTCGCTACCTGAAAATGATTTTTCGAAGGTAACGTTAGGTCAAAGGAAAAAATTCACTTTGAGCATCTCCACCGGAACACGGATTTTGACCCTGGATCTGAGTCCTTTTCAGTGTCATATTCTGCATTGAATTCAATAAATTTGAGTGTGAAGGATATTCGGCCGCATCGTGACACTGACCTTTTAACCGTAATTCTGCAAAAATTAATACAGTATAAATAGATAAGATATGCATGGTCATTTCGAAGTCCTCCGAATGCGCTGGAATGGCCGACTCATGCAGTTGTGGAATCAACTGATGGATTCGCCCGACGAGGAAATCGACGTCATCGTAAGTACGGCAGCCCAAGAAGCCGTCCGCCAAGCCGCAGCTGTGCACTCACGATCATGGAGCGGGTATCGTCGCGGTCGCCAGCCAAACTTGGATCGGAACCGGGCTGGTGGGCACTAGCAGATTGTCGATGACTACTTTGAGAGATCGGGAAACCACCGATCTTAAAACATAATATAGGTCTGTCGCCATTACAGAAGTGCAGTGCGTCGATGCTTATACTGGCCTATGGCGTCTGCACTTACTGCATTCACCATCGTCGCCTTGGTGAATCGACAGTCATCGAATCAATGAAGCGCATTACAAGGCTGTCGTCTCAGAATTACTACCCTTTATTCGATCCTCAGACGCTTCTACCCATGTCTTGGAGAGTAACTCGGTCTCCATGTCGCTCATCGATAACCTCATCGTCGTCCAGCAATCGAAAAGTATTTCGTGTAGACTAGTTTGTATACCATAAAAATTTCTTGTTAGTTGATTAATTCGGCGCAAAACCTCGACTCGGAGTTTTTAGTGAAAACCCCGTGTGGAATGGTCAAGACTCAGGGCCCGGGGTTCTGAAACTCAGTTTCAGTGTCGAATTCAGTGTTGGGGTGGGGGTAAATTCAGGGTCAAAATATCATCGAAACTGAGTAATATTCAGTTTCAGGGTCAAATTCCGTGTACGGTGGAGATGCTCTTATCGTTTCACACGAAGGTCACTACGCAAATTCCACCTGGCTATTTGGACGGAAGTCGGCCTTTAACCTCCCACTGCAGTGATAAAACGCATGAAATCGGTATTTAACGCATTTGGTTTTTGGGTTTAACTACCTTAAATGTACGTTAAATAATAAAACCTCCACTCTTCGATAAGAGTCACATACTAAAATCAAGATACATCTCAGCGGCCACCCCTATGGCCAAATTATCCAAGCGCCTATATAAAATGCCGCTAGTTTAACTGTAAATATCTATTTCTGACAAATTCATCACCAAATTTGAATCTGAGACGTAGAATTTCTTCACCACATTAGAGACATTTGGCAAGTCATAAATTTGAAAATCACACACTAAAACTTCGGATCGAATTTCGAATATTGATCTATGAGTCGGAAATCTGGTCCGGGATATCGCTGAAAGTGTTGACTTTGGGGGCCGAAGTCTGCACTGCTCCAACCAACTTCTTCAGCGAATCATATTGCTTGTTTTCAACTGCTCCACTA